CTCAACACGTTTAAAATAACGTGAAGAGTGTGTTTATGTAAGACCATTGTGTTAGTCAGCTTTTTGTCACTGTGACCAAAATACCTGACAAGAAACASTTAGGAGAGGAGAAGCTTATTTTGGGCTCATATTTTCAGCGGAGCCGTCCATGGCTGGTGGACTTCACTGCTCTGAGCCTCGGTGAGGCAGAATATCATGACAGGAAGGCTGTGCTAGAGGAAAGTGTCTCAGCTCATGGCAGCCAGGAAGAGGGAGGTTAAAGGGCCGGGGTCAGATGTAGTCCAAGGCCACGTCCCCAGAACCCTACCTCCTCCAGCCACTCCCCACCTACCTACAGTCATCACCCTATAGTCCTGAAATGGATTAATCCACTGATAAGGTTAGAGCCCCATGACCTAATCCTTACCTCCAAACCCCACTTCTGAGCCTTGCTGTATTGGGGACCATGCTTCCAAAATCTGAGATTTTGGGGGCACTTTAAAAACCCAGATCATAGTGGCACAGAGATGGGTCTCATTGGCCTTGCGTGTTCATGCTTCCGCTTCTGTTCTGGATTCTTCTCTGTGGCATTCTCCTGGGGTCATTGAGCATGAGCCTTCTGACTGACCACCTTTCTCCTTCCCAGTGGCTGCTTCCACTTTGCTGCGGGGTCACAGATTCTCACAGGGGCCACCATCACTACAAACATCGCATGTGCCACTCAGACCTCAAAACAGYTTGATATTCTGAGATCAAGTGTGGGAGAATCTTTCTTCTTCATTTTCAGTTTTGACTGTCTTGGGGTTTAGGGGGTATTTTGCAAAGCTTGTAATGAAGCAACTCATCTCGAATTAGTTTACATCCATATTGCTCCATGGAACTCAGACAGCTATCCTGGGGGGTTGGGACAGAAGAAACCACCACGTGACCCACACTGTGCTATGCTCAGAGTCACCCTTCATCCTCTAGGGGCTCGATCCTGGACCAGATAAGCCTGCCTGTTTGACTCTGTGCTTGGCGTGGTCCCCATACTGCTCTAAAAAGTCTGTCCTGTTGTGAACACAGTAAAGGCTAAAGTTGAGGTGATCATTTCTCATTTCTACATAGAGGTGCTATAGATTGTACCAATGTAACAGCACACTGACAGAAATATTTATTACTCAGTTTCTGATCTGTTAAAAAAAACACAGGAAGTGTGTATTTTGTGAGTTGAGATGCCAACCGCTTGAGTAACAGTTAGTAAATCCAAGGATGGTTCCCCCCCATCCTTTTACCCTACCCTGATAACATCAAAGTTCACTGCAGATGAACTTAAATGAAAAGTTTTTGAAATGAACTTTTATATATTTAAGCTTAGTACAATTTGGATGAAGGGTGACTCTGTAATTACATCCATTAAATTGGTTTCAATTGCTCTACTGTGTCAACAGTTAAGGCTTAAGTGAAGGAAACAACATTTTCAGGAAGAAAACAAAAATCCCGCCCCCCACTCATATTTGTCTCCTCTCATTGAAAGTGATGCACATAACGTTCTCTAAACAGCCTTCCCATTTAGGCCTTTGAGGTAAAACTGTTGGTAATCACTTGGATGGCATTTCAGAAGAGATTGTCACTGAGGTCACATTTCTTCAGAATCAGAAAGAATTAAGTTTCAGATCCAGCTCTGACCCTTTCTTTGAAATCTCCTTCGCAAGGCTCTTCTGCAAGATGGTGATACAGGCCAGTGTGGCAAAGGTCTTGGCAGCCTAGTGAGTTACACAATAAAGCTAATACTTGTGAACCGTATACACACATCATCATGACATTAATTTTTAAGTATTTGTCAACATAGGTTTACATGGGGCATGAAAAGGATCATAATTTTCCATCTTTAGAAATTAGGTCAAACCTCTGTTTCTGCAAATAGAGTTAATAAGTCTAGGAAACTTTGCATTTGAATATGCTGTTTGTTATTCAAAAGGAAAGTTCGACCTCTGCGTAAGAGAAAAAGGAAATCAATGGAGAACAACCCCCAAATGACCCCGATGTGACTCTAGCAGACCTGGATTCCAAGCATCCCTTAAAACTATGTTCAAACATATAGAGGAAAACATAAGGGGCAGCTGAATGGCATCTGGAACCCGTGTTTGTATAGGTACCTGCAGTTATGCACATGAAACACTTATTTAGTAGTGTTGGCAGAAAATAGCTTGACCAGGTGTATTTAAAGGAGCATCGAATTCCAGTTTATTCTGTACATGCACTCATGAATAATAAACAGTAATTTTAAAAAGCTTTCTGGGTATTAGGGAAACAAATACAAACCAAACAAAAAATAGGTCTGATTTTCAACTCATGGACTCTGGATTTGACATAAATTGAAACAAATATAATAGGTGGTTAAAAAAATAGTGCATTTCATAAAAACAGCAATTATTTGTAGCCCAAAGCCCCAGGGGTACTAAGTTTTACTTCCAAATTTGGGGTGGACATAAGGGAAAGCTTGAAGGAATGACCAATGAACAGATGAGATGAACCCTATCAGATGCTTGGGAGGTTTACATGTAGCCAGGGTGGAACAGAAGGGAACAGCCAGGGTGGAACAGGGGGGAGCAGGCAGAACGACAAGGTGGTCTGGAGAAGGTTCTGAATACAGGAGTGGAGGGGGCAGTCTTCCTAGAGTACGTTGTGCACCCAAGGTGCAGAGATAAGGTAAGAGGAGCAGGTGAGTCCAGGTTACTGGACACTGGACATCCTCTGAAGACATCAGAAAGCCAATTAAAGGTCAAGATACAAAAGCTCAGTGTTATTTCCTTTGTAAACTACAACTCCAGAAACAATTTCCAAAATTGGTCACAATTCCTACAATTACTTAGTAAAAAAGCAGATGAAATAGCTCTTGTAATTTTAGGGTAGAACCCTTTAGTTTATTCAGGATTAAGTTACCACATGATAGATTTGAGCACCAATTAAGAATCAAGAAATGTGCTATACAGTTTCTTAACTTTTTAATTACAAGATATATGTAAGTTTACGGTTTGACAAAATATTTCAATGCATTAACATAAAGAATCCACTCTTGACATTCATTGGAATGGCAGTAGAGGAAAGAAATTTTTATTTTATGTATACAAAATGAAATCCACACATCAAGCACAAGTTAAAGTTAAATTATAGGTTGCTAGTTTTGCAGAAATAAGTAAATACTTCTTTCCTAAGGTCTTGTCTGTAACGTGTTCTGATGAGGAAGTTAAGGAGTTCTGTTTCTTAGATAACTTATAAAATTACATTGAAAAATTTTAACATTGATAAAGTCGAGACATGACCAAAATATCTTATATCCTGATGCTATGTAATAAAATAAATTCTTAGGGGCTGTGGGTTTTGCCAAATTGTATGGTGCTTGCCTAGTATGCACAGGGCTCTAAGGTTTGATCACCAGCACTGCAAAGATAGAAATAAGAGMTAGAGAAAGAGATAGGTAGAGATGAGATAGATAGATAGATATAGAGAGAGAAATATTAAGTTCACAGCAAATAATGTGTTTTATAATAGTTCAGGTTTTGGGGTCTAGTAGGATTCACCAGAAATATTTGAGGATTTTGAAATAATAGAATATAATGCCATCAGAGTATTTCAGAATGGGAAAAGCAAAGGAATTTTATGACCCTGAATTCAAAATGCTTATTTTATCCTTCATGTTACTCCTTACAGCTAATGACATCAAAGAAAGGAACTCAGACACATGGCAGTGGTCACACTTAGTTGCATATCAGTGAGTGATTATGTAATACTTGTTTGACTTTTAAAAGCAAACACAGCACAAGTTCCCGTCCCCACACCCTACTCTGTTTTGTGGCATGGAATGGTGCCTAACCTCCTGGGATGATATGTGTTAACATGGACATAATTATTCCTTATGTTCTATAATTGCATAAGGTACGTCTTACAGAGAACATTTCCTCCAAGGGTCTTATGCAATGTTCTATGAAAACAAGCCTTCTCTGGATGTGTGAGTCACTGTCTCCCAGAAAACGTCTTCCTTGTAAATGATTCCAGAGCTTATAAAACAAAAGAAGGGAGGAGAGAAACCATGACCTTTTTCCAAAAGAGAAAACTAACCCAAGGGACAGAGGATTGTCATTTCATTTCCTCTTATTTGCTGGTTTTGGGATTGTAAGACTTTTTAAAGTTGGTTCTTTAATCAAGAGCAGAAAGCCTGATGAACTTTGTCCTGTTTCCATGAACTGGTGGTCAAACGGGGAGTATAAAATTCCAAAACAGCAGGATCATCATAAAATCCATGTACTCACTTTTGTTCTGTTTTATTTGGCTTTAGGTTCCTCAGTTGGCATTTTATGTTCTACACCTGAAATTTTTGCAACTATCCTTGGCATTTCTCTAGTATTTTGATACAATTCCAAGGAATTTTATTAAATTTAAATTTCCCAAGATTGCTTAAATTTCCAAGCACAAACAAATCTATTTTCTCCCTTTGTTGAATTATCTCTTCAGGTTCTTTCCACTGATAACCCATCTAACCAAAACAAAACAAAACAAACAAACAAAAAAAGAGTGATTAGTGATTAAATACACATCCACCTCAACACATGGTCAGTGTAAGGAAATATGCTTGAACTCATTACACTGCTTTCTGAATCCTTGTTACTTTAAGTTTTCTTAAGAACACAACTCCTACAAACGACATCTGACAGAATATATCTAATCTGCTCTTTGGCGAGGTCTGGGATGGTACAAATGAGAATCACCGGAGAACTTGGCCAACACAGTGGCTGCGGGTCTGCCCCCTGACTCCAGGCACCAGAAGCTTGCTCCGGGTGAGAAGTCTTTGAGCACCTGGGGCTGGACCTCTTGGGTTCATGGGTGGAGAGCCCCGTACTTTCTCCCCTGCTTCCCACCGCATGTCCAGGTGCCACGCGCCTCTCGAGCTTCAGTTCGGAGCCCCTCCTGATGGACTCTGGGTCCGGAGGAGCCAGGCCGCCGACGGCTTGCTGGGAGCGGTGGCCTTGTGCAGAGCCAAGTCACCCTCTGAGCGCCGCGAGGAACTTCCAGCCCTGCCGCAGCCTGCTGGCCAGCATCTCCCTGAAGTGGTCGCCCAGCAGGAAGTAGAAGACAGGGTTGACAGCGCTGCTCAGGAAGGCTAGCGGGCGCGACAGCACATACAGGCAGCTGATGACCACCTGCGTGCAGCCCTGCCCGCTGCCCAGGCGCGAGGCGATGCGCACGTTGCGCAGCACGTGGTAGGGCGTGAAGAACACGGAGAAGACCACCACAGCCAGGACCACCAGCGCCAGGGGCTTCTCCAGCGTCTGCGCCACGCTCAGCTGCCGGCTCCGCTGCTGCAGGAAGATGGCGATCTTGTAGGAGAAGAAGCACATGACGGCCAGCGGCGCCAGGAACCCCACCAAGGTCAGGCACAGGCTGTAAACGAGGTTGTACCGCGGGTCCCCCGAGCTGGCGTAGTCGATGCAGCTCGTGCCCTCCTCCGTGGTGACCGGGCCGATCACATGGAGGATAGGCAGCAGCTCCAAGGTGACCAACGCCCAGATGGCCAAGGAGATCAAGACGGCGAACTCCTTCTTCTGCAGAAGGTGCTCCCGGAAAGGGAACTTCATGAGCAGGTAGCGGTCGACGCTGATGAAGGTGAGGAAGAGGATGCTGGTGTAGAGGTTGGCATGCAGCACGTAGCGGTTGCTCACGCAGAGCACCTCGCCGTACTGCCAGGCTCCCTTGGCGTAGCTTCGCATCAGCATGGGCAGTGTGCACAGGAAGGCCAGGTCCGAGATGGCCAGGTTGAACAGGTAGACGTTACTGCTGCTCCAGTTCTTCAGACAGAAGAGGTAGCCGAAAACCACCGTGGWGTTCCCGAGCATGCCCACGACGAACTCAAAGCCGTAAAAGATGGGGAGGTAGTACTTCTCCAAGGCAGACTGGACCTCCAGCCAGTCCTTGCACGTTTCATTCCACGCCTGAAGAAGACAGGAAATGCAAGGGCAAAACAAGAGAATGTGACGCAGGACAAGACTCTGCAGAACGCCGTTAACAAAAGGAACACTGGAGGAATGATAGCAGTGAGCTAAGCAAAATTCCTATCTCAGAGTTCACTCTCTTGGGAAATTTTAGGAAATAGCCAGGCGTTGTGGTGCACGCCTGTAATCCCAGTGGCTTGGGAGGCTGAGACAGGAGGATCACAAGTTCAAAGCCAGCCTCAACAACTTAGTGAGCCCTTAAGCAATTCAGTGAGACCCCAGCTCAAAATAAAATATAAAAAGGGTTGGGGAAGTGGCTCAGTGGTTAAGCTTGATTTCCAGTACCAAAAGAAACAAGTAAATAAAAATTTAAAAAGTTAGAAAGTCAGGAAATAAATAAATTTATGCTATGAATAAAAAGGAGGAACGCTAAAAATTTTAGAGTGCTTGGGGTAGAAGGTGGCTGTGAGCTATTCTTACATATGATGATCAGGGAGCTGCTTCTGTATGAGATTACATTTACACAGAAATTTCAGTGGCGAGGGAAAGAGCCACTTCCCTATCTGGAAAAAGAGTGTTTCTGACAAAGAAAGGGCATGTTCAAAGGCCCTAAGAAAGAAGTGCACAGAGGGCTTAACAAACAGTAAGAGTCCAAAGCAGAGTGTGGTAAAGGAAATGAAGAGGAGAGTCTAATTTGCTTTTGTTTCTAGAACGTACCACAGTTCCTGGCACATCATCGCTGTCCAACAAACTCTGCTGAGTTAAACTGAATTGAACCATAACCTAGAGAAGGAAATAGGGATTGTTAGAATTCCAGTCTACAACTGCCATCTTAAAATAGACTATTTCAAAATTTACAATGTGAAACTGAGCATCTTACTAATGATAATGGTGCCTACTGTTTATTGAGAGCTGATAGCGGGGACAGGCACTGATGCACTACTTTCCAAGAATTATCTCATTTAATGCTTACAGTGACATAATGAAAGAGGGACTTGTGTTCTTTTCATTTGACACATAATTTCTCTGATGCTTGGAAAATTAAATATCTGCTATTTTAGTCTAACCCTGCTGCTATAGCAATATACCTTATAGTGGGTAATCTATAAATAATAGAAATGTTTTCCTCACAGTGTGAACGGTGAGAAGTCCAAGGTCAAGGTGCCAGCAGCTTCCATGTCTGGTGAGCTGACCATTGCTCTTTGCTCCAAAGGTGGTGCCTTTTGATGCTCATAGCAGTGGTGCAAGGCATCCCCCTTGATGAGATCTCATTGATGCTGCAGAGTCCTCATGACTTACCTGTTCCCCAAGGACCTGCCTCTTAGTACTGTTAGTCCCAATGCATGTATTGTTGAAGCCCCCAATACTCAGAGCACAACACTTGTTGAGATCAGATGCTAGTGAAAGATCTTCACAGGGCTATCTTCTGAATACAAACCATGAAAACAGTAATCTAATTCAATAGATCTCAAACATCTTGCTAACTCTTCATTTTCTCCCTTGTCATCAGACCAGATTGTGATTGGATAAGGTATTTCAAAGAATTTGAGTTATCTGAAAAATGTGCTGGATTGCCACTATTCAGTATTACATCTTACTTATCTCAAGGTTGAATATTCTAAATAAAAAACCAACTCCTTATTAAATAGGTTTTAGTGGCAATGAAATGATTCCTTCAATTGAAGAATTTGGGTAAGTACAGCAAAATAATAAGTGCATCTGAACTGCTTTTATCAAGAAGCAGCATCAAACATTCAGTAGAATCTTCTACCATAGAAGCTTCTGGAAAAGTTGTACGACCYCCTTCCAATTCAAGTGGCTTACCTAAAGGCTGGGAGGAGAGGGAGCAGGGCCCTGGGTCACTTCTTAGACAGGAGAGCACAATAGCCCTGCAGATATTTGCTAAGAAACTTACAAAGAGGCTACTTTAAAATCAGGACCTATGTGATGATCGGTGACACTCCAGAAGAGGAAAAGTGCCTGGTTGACATTTTGATGGGACTAAAGGCTGCATGGATACACTGAAGCTGTCCTCACAGTTGGGCAGGGTGGACTTCCAACCTGTAGATCCACACAAACCCCTGTGGTGGGCGGGCTTGGGCGCCTCTCTCCTGGGACCACTCCCTCCTCCCRAGCTCTGCTTTCTTTGTGCTAATCAAGTAAACCCTGTTACTTTCTCTCACCCTGTGTGTGTGAGACACTGGACCCTGGGAGCTGCCCTAGTGCCCACCCACTCAGCCACCCCACAGGGCTCCTCTTCCTCAGGCTCTATTCTGACTTCTCAGCTGCTTCTCACACCAGGATTGGAGAAAACGCCCTCCTGTCGCCTTCTGTCCCCTCACAGCCTCCTGGTTTTCCTCCTTCTACCCTGGCTGTGCCCTGCAGGCTCTTTTGTAGCTCAACTGGTAGATCCTAGGTTCACTGCTCAGCCCTGGGGTTCCTTCTCTACATTCGGCCTAGATAATCTCATCCACTTTAGACCTTCCATGGCCGGCCATCCACCAAGAACTCCTAGATTTACAACCAGCCCAGACCTGTTTTATAAGCTCTGGCTTTTATACTCATTGTCATGTATTATTTCTCACCAACGTCTCTGCCATTAAATCCTATGCTAAGTGACACTGGCACCAAAACAGACATGAAGACCATCGGTACTGAACAGAAAACACAGAGACAGACCCACATAAATATAGTTATGTCATACTAGAAAAAGGTTCCATAAATGTACATTAGAGAAAAGATGTCCTCTTCAACAAATGATCCTGGGAAAACTGGAAATCCATATGTAGAAAAAGTAAATTAAGCCCTTATCTCTCACGGTGCACAAAACTCAACTCTAAATGGATCAAGGACCTAGGCTTTACACCCAAGACCCTATACCTAATAGAAGAAAAAGTAGGCCCAAATCTCTATTGAGTTGGCTTAGGAACTGAGTTTCTCAACTGCCGCAGTCTGGCTGGGCACAATTCAGGAGCCACTTGTCAAAAGAAACTAACTTTATTTTTAGAACCACACAGGCCAAAGAAAACAGCTCCTCAGGAAAARACCCTCAGAGCCCAACTGCCACCACCAGCTTCCCACAAGCCTCTCACACCAACACCCAAGCCTCTCCCACTCCCCCAATCCTCCTGCTCTTGAGGCCGATTGGCTGGGTCGTGTGGGCGGAGYMAAAGAAGTCCCCCAATGAGCAGCTCCGTGGTCTGAAAGGGCAGGGAAACAGCCCAATGAGTATCACCGCAGAGGAGCCAATCAGCTAGATGTTGCTGGGGCCGCTGTGAGCCAATCATCAGCTGGCAGTCTGAAAGGGCGGGGAAACAGCTCAATGAGCATCTCCAATGAGCATCACCACAGAGGAGCCAATCAGCTAGATGTTGCTGGGGCCGCTGTGAGCCAATCATCAGCTGGCAGTCTGAAAGGGCGGGGAAACAGCTCAATGAGCATCTCCAATGAGCATCACCACAGAGGAGCCAATCAGCTAGATGTTGCTGGGGCCGCTGTGAGCCAATCATCAGTCGCAGCTGAAAGTTTGCTGGGGCCCCTTCGGCTATGGCTCTCAACACTCAACAAGACTCCTAAAGCGTAAGAAATAAAATCGAGATTCGATAAAAGGAATGGAATCAAACAAAAAAACTTCTTCAGAGCAAAGGAAACAATCAAGAACATGAAGAAAGAGTTTACAGAATGGGAGAAAAATCTTTGCCACCTGCACCTCAGATAGAGCATTAATCTCAGGATATATAAGAACTCAAAAAACTAAATCACACACACACACACAAAACATATGACCCAACTGGTAAGTGGGCAAAGGAACTGAACAGACATTTCACAGAAGAAGAAATGTGATTGGTCAATAAACATGAAAAAATATTAAGCATCTCTAGCAATTATAAAAATTCAAATTAAAACTACTCAAATTACATCTCACTCCAGTCAGAATGGCAATTATCAAGAATACAAGTAATAATAAATGTTGGTGAGGATGTGGGGAAAAGGCACACTCATACATTGCTGGTGGGACTACACATTGGTGCAACCACTTTGGAAAGCAGTATGAGGATTCCTTAGAAAACGTGGAATAGAACCACCATTTCACCCAGCTATCCCACTCCTCAGTACATACCCAAAGGACTTAGAATCAGCATACTACAATGACACAGCCACATCAATGTTTATAGCAGTTCGATTCATAATAGTAAGCTATGGAACCAACCTAGGTTCCCTTCAACAGATGAATGGATACAGAAAATTGTGGTACATATATCCAATGAAATATTTCTCAGTCATAAAGAAGAATGAGACTATGGCACTTGCCAGTAAACAGATGGAACTGGAGACTATCATGTTAAGTGAAATAAGCCAATCCCCTAAAACCAAAGCTCGAATGTTCTTTCTGGTATGTGGATGCTAACACACAATAAGCAGGGGTAGGAGGGAAGAACAGAAGTTTGTTGGGTAGACAAAGGGGAATGAAGGGAATTGGGAGGTTTCTGGGAATAGGAAAGACAGTGGAATGAATCACATATAACTTTCCTATGTTTGTGTATGAATAACGACCAGTGTAACTCTACATCATGTACAACCACAAGAATGAGAAGTTATACTACATGTTTGTATAACATGTCAAAATACATTCTACTCTCATGTATAACTAAATAGAATTTAAAAAAAGAAAGCCTATGCTAAGTTCTTCCACTTCCTTACCAGTGTTGCAGATAGATATCCACCTATCTCAGTAAAATTGTGTCATCATGGACTCAAGTGTGCACCACAGAACTCTAAGCAACGACCTCAAAGTCATCCCTTATTTAACCCCAGTAATGAGTCAACTCCCCACATCTTATTGCCTGTCATTCCAGATGTTTCTCAAGTTCATCATTGTACCCACACACCATATTCTAGTCGAAGCCACTGTTCTCTCTATCTTGGATTATGTCACATGCTCTTACTGTCTTACATCTTCTCCAGACCTTTTCAATTTATTGTCCCTATAATAGCCACATAATCTTGAAAATAGAATCACATTGCTCTCCTAGACTTCAACGACTTTCCACAGTCCAAGGACTGCAGTCTGAATCATTGATGGGGACCCCACACCATGACCTGGCTCCTGGGTGCCACTTGGCCTGCCTTAGTGCTCCATGTTCACCTCTCCTCCCACCTGCTCTTGAACACACAGAGTGGTCCATGGCCATCTTCCTGAAGTGACTCTCTTGTGTGACATTCCTCATCTTACATGTAGACTTCTTTCAGGACTCAAATCAAGTGTGGGTTTCCCAGAACAAGCTCTCTGGCCCCCATTCTAAGCCAGCCTCTCCCCCTGGCGCTGTGGGGGCAAGTTGAACTTCCTAGCACCTCTCGCAACTTTGACTCATTGTTTATCTTCTACATCTGGCCCAGTGACTAGCAGATGGTAGATGGTCAGAAAATGCTTGTTGAGTGAAGATAGGACTGTAAACATCTGACTGTTTACCAGGGAGTTTTATAAATAACTCCTCCAAGTTCAGAGAAGTAGCATGTCCACAAAACTAAACCCCAAATTGCTGTATTTCATTACAAAATATGACACTCTGTATAATATAAATGATATTAAAAATTGGAAATGGTAGTACCAATAGCTATGGCTTTGAAATATTTAAAGAAAATGTGTGTGTCTTCTAGGATCCATTTAATAATCCAAGGCATTTAATTAAAAATTCACACCTGAAATTAAGAAACATTCGAAAGATTTGCATCAAAGTGTTRGTAGTTTCATTCCTAACAATGATATTCCAAATAGTTTTTTTCATGTCCTTTTTCCTTTTAGTCTCTGAACATTTTTTTATACTAAAGCAGCATGTATTCAATAATATTAAGTTTTAATTCTTAGAAATATAGAAAAAGGGCCAAGGAACTTCTCTGTGTAAGCTAATATTCCTTGTTTTTCAGATCAGTGGTCTTTTTCACTAGCTCCAACTCTCCTGCTGCTGCTGCCGTTCCCAGCCTCCTGGAAGCATGCGTTCCCTGTCTTCTATGATGTGCCAATCTGGTCCCTCCAGTCCCCACTGCAGACTCCCTTGTGACTGACCCTTCTTTGCCCAAGTTTTAAATGGCTGGACAGTCTGAAGGCTCAATCTGAATCCCTTTGTTATTTGAGGAGCACCCAAAAGTTGGGGTGCACACTTAAAATTGAAATTAAGATAGTAGAAAATTTCTTTCAGACAAGAAACTCATTAGTTTCAGTTTTGAATTTCCTTTTTCCAGTCATAACCAGGAACCAGGTCTTATTTCTGCCTAGTAAGTGCTGGCTTTTGTCAGTAGTTTATGCAACTTGTGCGCAGCAGAAAGTTTGGACGATCATGAATGGAAACTGTGTCTATGAGGACAGGCGTGACTTGAAGCCAGATTGCCACTGACCACCACTCAGGCAAGTTAGGGACCTCATGGAAATGATGGGGAGCTCTTCTACTTTCCAAAGAGGCTGGATATTGAGGGAGCTAGCAAGGATAGAGCACTGCAGGGTGGAGTAAGGAAATGAGGGACTAAACTCACCTGTTCCTTTCCTCCATTAATTTACACCTGCATGTTGCTTCTCATAGAGTGGTTGCCCCATTAAAAAAAAAAAAAACTTTAAAAATGTATGTATGGGGCTGGGTTGTAGAGCACTTGCCTAGCACCACATAAAAATAAATAAATAAAATAAAGGTATTGTGTCTATCTACAACYAAAAAATATTTTTAAARTGTATGTATGAAATACATACTAATTGTATAATACCTATCGATGCAAATAGGCAAAAATGATGGAAAAAAGATCTTTAAACCCATCATTTATAATATTAGGRTACCATTCTACACTTTAATTTTTATTTGAATTTGCATTTATAAAAATGAGATGATATTTTTAATGATGTTTTATTATTTGTTTCTTTGATACTTTTGTTTAATAATGGAAAGTTTTTTCTAAGTCTATAATATTCACAAATTATGGCTTTGTAAAGGCAGGCGATCCAATATTCGTAGGCCAGCTTATCTTCTCAAGGAGCCACGGTTATATTCCAAATTGCGTGATATGTGTATGTGTGTTTTTCATGTGGCCATCATGATTGAAGAAATTGGAGAAGTAAGTTGTTTCTTTAAGCACAACTCTCTACTGAAAGGGAAACTTTGTCATAAAAAATTACTAKTCTCTTCCACTGTCTAGTGGTTGTACTCTTGGAAATGGAATTAGTGATAAATAGCTTATAACTGATCTGTTTAAATTCTTTTAACAGATCTTTTTCTTTAAAAAGTGTTGTATACTAAAGTGAAGTCAATAATTCTTAGTCCAAAATATACTWATCTAAACCTGCTAGAATTAATACACTAGAAGCAATATCAAATTTACTCTCATAAACATATCAATAATACTGATTTTTAAATTTGGGATAATATTTCTTTCACTTTAAATATATTCATCCTTTTGGAAACATACAGTTTCGACAACTAAATTTAAAATATATATATATATCTGATAGTTTCTTAGACTTTAAATTATTTTCTTACAACCATCAAAATTAAACACAGAAAATTTGTGGAATTTTAATTTTTTACTGCTACCATAAGGTGAACTTACAATTTGAGTGAAAATATATATTCACACTGAAAAAGATACAATAATTTAACTGGTGACTTAATTTTCATATATTCCATACGTTACATCAGAAGTTAAATTATTGAAAAGTGATAGAATGACATCAAATAGTATGCACATTAATTTCTTTACAAATATACTACATATAGGTAGAGTAGCAATGATTTCTGTAATTTTTAATTTTTCTTCAGTAAGTTATATTCTTGAATCATCTTATTTTATTACCTATAAAGGCTAAATTTAATTTTTAAAATACCTTAAAATTACATCTRATACTTTGCTTTCTAAGCATGATAAACTGTTTCATATGATTTAGGATCTTTAATTTTTTCTATAAGTGATAATACATATTCAAGTGAATCCAATTACTAATTTTTGTTGCAATATGTTACCAAGATGTCAGTAAATACAGTAAACCTTTCTAAATRAAATAAACTTACCATTTGGCAATTAACACAAGACATTTAATTTTGTATAATCAAAATGCAAAGGCAACAATTAGGGCTTCCCTTTAGTTTCTTTGGCTGGTTTTCCTCTCCTTGAGAGCACTTCCCCTAAACAGGACTTATACCCCTTTGGCTCACAGAGCAGTTTTTCCCAAAGCCCCCAGCAGCAGCCTGCCCTGCATATGGGAGGAGGAGATGCAGAGCAGCTTACCATTCTGCTGGATGGCCTCTCCCTTGACAGAACCTCGGCCAGCTCTGGAGACAGCTTCTGACCCAGTGCAGTGCGGCCAGACATGCTTAGTTGGGTCTAATTTGCATATCAGGCAGCCAAGATTAATAATTCAAAAGTCAGGGATAATTTATGCAGTCAAACCTCCAAGTCAGAGACATGCATGCAGGGAAATTTCTGCAGAGTGGAGACACGGAACAAATGACTCATTTTGCAGAAAACACATTTGACAAACAGATTTGGAGAACACTACAGTCGGATTGGTTTTATCCACTAACAAAGTCACGGAGAAGCAGTCCTTATTTTCATATTTATTTGTGGACTTAGACAATGAGGAATGGTAAACACATTATATTGAGTATACAATTGCATCTGTTTTTTTTTTCAATTCTCAATTTTTTGGTGAATGCTAGGTTGGGCATACAATGACTAAGCTACTGTTATCAACAATTTTGAGGGAGCTATAAAACAGAAACTTTGAAGGGACTATACTTATATCCTGTTAGTGTACTAGAAAAGGGACACTAGAGCTTTTTTTTATTTTTTCCATTTTACTTGCTGTGATTAAGTTCAAGAGACACATTAAAAATGCATCAGGTGGCTAGGGATTAGGGAGAGAGGTGCTATAAAAGCCACCTCCAGAGACTGCAATGTATCCATCCCAATCAATGCCTGAGTAGCACCGGGAGCTCATTGCCTCCATTTCAGACAGGAAGCACACCTGGCTTTTCCTGAGGATTATGTTAGATTTATGATCAAGTAAACACTCTGTCTGCTTGATGTGAAGCTTGGGGATTATGCTGAGGAAATGCCTAACTGTTCAGGCAGTAGAAATTCAATTTGAGTGCCATACAAGTTGATTGTAGAGTTAGCAGTGATAAGCAGGAGTCCACAAGAAACTTCATTATGTCTCCTCCTAACCAGGAATTTCCTCTTCCCCCAGGCTCTATGAGCCTTAAACTGAGAAACTTCAAAAAAAACATAAATATTCTTTGTGTGTGTGTGTGTGTGTGTGTGTGTGTGTGTGTGGTGGTGGTGGTGGTGGGGATTAAACCCAAGGCCTTGTGCATGCAAGACAAGCACTCCACCAATGGAGCTATATCCCCAGCCCAAATATTCTTTAAATATATATAAATGTACTTAAAATTATATACATGAATTAAATATAAGTGTATTCATGTGTATAAATATTTACACATATACAACATGTTTATTTATCTGAAATAACATATCTTCAATTTGTTGAGTTTTTATGATAGCCAGGCATTGAACTGAAAACCTTTATGTGTGTTAAATGCTTAGAGTATGCCTCTGAGTTTGTTATTATTTTTATTTTACAGAATGCAAAACTGAGATCAGAGAGGTCATTAACTTTTCTAGGGTCACAGAATCAGCTAAGGGTGACTGAAGTTTAAGCCTCTGCACTTCCATACTGAAAGCACCTGCGGACCTCTGATTCCTGTGAGAGTGAGTGACAACATTCTTCTTGAGGTGTACAATAAGTTCTGGGAATTAATGACAGGTACTTTTCTACTTTCTCTTTTCTTTAGAGAAAGGCTAAAAAATTATTCCTGTCTATGAATTTAAAAGGGCAAGCGCATTTGCAAAACCATCAGTGTTGTTAATTTTAGACCTAAAATAACACAGAGGAGCAAAGGCGCCTGGGCGTATTTCACAGGTTTCTGMCACCCTTCCAATGGAGATAGGGCAATTCCCTCTGTGGGGAGGCGGGAGTTCCCCAGAGCTTCCTCTTTCTCCTCCCCACCTCCTGACCACCACAGAAGTGGTTTGCACTTCTCCTTTTCCACAGGCCTGCCATCCAGACTCAGCCTGGTGACCTGCTTCCCTGCTTAGTCCACCTTGTCAGGGGCCCCTTCCCTTAGGACATTGTCACTGGAGGAGGAGAGTGAGTCAGGGGAAAGACTTAGGGAAGATCTCCAGTACTCCTGGTGTTCTCAGTACGTCTTGAAGACCTGTGAGAGGTATCCAGTACTTCTGGTCATTTTGCACACAAAAGGAATCAGTCCAGGGACCAGGTTAGATGCAGGGCCATGGCCCATGAGCAGAGCTGGTGTGTCATTGACTGCKGAAGCAACAGGGTCTTGCACCCAGAGGGGCCACACACTTAATCTAATGCTTTTCTGTCACATTCTGTATTTGAAATTCTTCATAATTTCATAATGAACGACCCCATCTTTTCTTTTTGCATTGCTAGCTCCGCCTGCTGAAGTACAAAGCTCGTCGGAAATGATCGCAAATAGCATAGTCAGTTTCAATGGGGCAAAGTTTTTGGTTTTTGCTGTCTTCTTTTTTAGAAACAACCTAGTGAAGTTCATGGCTTGAGGAGCAAGGGGAGTTGGAAGGGCAGTTGAGTTTGCAGGAAAACCTGCTCTCCCAGAGGTAGTAAGGTAGGAGTGAGAGCCCCTCCCAGGTCAGACCTTTCTAACCCAGACTTTGCTCTTGAATGAGAATTTGGATTCAAGGCCATCAATGCTAGAACATTTTCTTAAATTGACCTTGTAAAAGTCAGCATGAGTAAAAAGACCAAGGGGTCATTGTCCTGACTTTGCCTTTTACTAGTTATGAGATCTTAAAAAAAAAAAAAAGTACATATTTTAATTTCCTTGTTTGGAAGATGGGAATAATGATCCCTACCCCATAAAACTTACAATGTTCACAGTAGTGAAATGCARTGGGCTGGGAATACCAACGCAGAGCACAATCAGCAAATTCCAGAGGAAAAAAGTGGGAAAGACAACCAAAATATTAATTAAATCTAATACCACCCTACTTATTAGCTTCCACGAGCATCTTTTGAACACCTACTCTCTGTACTCTGTTCTTTAATAGCTGCAAGAGTTTAAGGCACTTCATGATGTTAAAGTTATTAGGATATTCAGGGGAAGAAAATGAAGCCCAACAATGATTAAATAAATTATCCACCATTACACAGCTAAGAAATGAGTGGGCCATAACTTGAGGCCTTGCTTGTTTGATTCTTCACTCTGAGCTTTTGAACATTATTGTGCCTTCCTCGGGGTAAAGAAGAAAATATTAAGTCAAAACCAAATGCTACTGATATTGAATAATTTGACCTTAAATATGGCAATTTTATGTGRTTTGATCTGAAAAAGTAAGTTTAAAAGAATTACTACAACTCATTATGGGATATAAGACTATTGTTTATCAAATCTGATGATTCTAAAAAGAATTAGACATTTTAGGCAAAAAAACAGAGTCAGTAACAAACTGTGACAGCGCTTCTCCGAAGCTGATGCCAGCCAGCTGCTCTGCACACTGTGAGGTACTTCCTTCCACAGCACAGAGAGTCTGTGGGGAGAGCACACCATCCCAAGGTCCCACGATCTTCAAGAAATCRCACACAGGGCAGGAGGAGGATGATCAATCGGTTCAAGGAATTTCCTCCATAGTCTTATGGGGAAAGAAGAACGCAACAGATCCAAAGTGTCCTGTGAAACCGAGGAGGGTATTTGGGTGATGGTGTGCTGGGTAGACATAACCAAGCCTGCCTGGCTCTTCCTCTTTCCAAGAAATGATTCATGAAGGGGAAAAAACGAAAGGGAACAGCAAAGGGAAAGTACAGTAGAGGTTGTCTGTGATTATCTCTCAATTCTCCAGGCAGCAGGAATCATGCAAATTTTATTAACTAAATTTCCTTTCCCAAGGGATAGGGACTATTCAACATGGGCACTAAAGTCAAGGCAAAGGAATCTACTTCCTCTACAATCAAACTCCCTATCATTTAAGTTATACTTGTAATGCAAAATTCTACATTATTGTTTTTCCTTATTATGTCATATCTATTAGCAATGCTTTAACTAAAAACAGAATATTGTTTTCTGCTGAATTAAAATACATTAAGTGGCTAGGCATGGTGGTGCGTGCCTGCAATCCCAGAAACTCAGGAGGCTGAGGCAGGTGGATCAACTTGGTGAGACCTTGTCTCAAAAATAAAATAAAATAAAATAAAAAGGGCTGGAGGTGAGACTCAGTGGTTAAGTACCTCTGGGCTCCACCCAGTATAAAAAAAAAATCAAATTCCTTGAACTATTAATATTTTACCTAGAAACACAGGRAACTCACCTTTTATCTTTTAGTTCATTCTCAAATTTTATCAGCTAAATGATTTTTTAATGATTCATRTGATAACTTATTAATGCTTCTGTAAAAGTACTGTTGTTTTGCTTCCCTGATAAAAACCAAGATATGTGAAATTCAAGCATTTGAATTTAATTCTTAACCATTGATTATGGTATAATCTTTTTGATTGAGAGTTTGTCTGAAATATCAAAATAACATTCATTTGCTAATTAGTCATTCAACTACTCAGCTTCTCTCAATTCACATTGACTGTGGATTTTATAAATTTGCTTGATCCGTGTAACATTTGGCATTAATAATGAAAACAAAAGCCAGGTTGTTGGTTATTTTGATGGACATACTGTAGAGGCACTTCCCCTTGSCTCCTGATTAACCATTCTCTGTCTTGCTTGCTCAAAAATAAAATTTGCTCCTTGAATAAAGAACAAGAAGTCAGTCCAGTTGAATTTCACTGAGCATTTTGGTAATAGAGAGGTTTTCAGAATTGCAGAGAGAACAAGGATCATGCTCACTAGGTGAGCTAAGTGCTTGCTGATTGTGTTATGAATTCAATAAAGTAAATGATGCGACCCCATACAAAATTTGATGACATGATTCTCTTTTTTTAGAATCTTTACCTTCACAACATACTCATTAATGTGAATATTACATTTAAATTTATATTTTACACTGATTTATGACACTGTAAAACTAATACAATTTGACTTCAGATTAGGTCAATATCGTAATGAACTAAGTGAAGATTTTTCACATTGTAGCAACTGTGACATTATAATCAAACACTAAAGAATTATGAAAATGAGTCAATTGCTACCTTTTAAAATATCTCCTTCATCCTATAGGAATTATTTATGTGTCTATAAGAAGTATTTTTTTCACATTGACCTAATATTAAATTCTAA